GGGTGTGGTGGTGCAAGTCTTTTGTAATCCTCCATGCAGGAGGCTGAGGTAGGAGGATCCTTGTGAGTTTGAGATCAGCCTGAGGCACAAAGTGAGCTCAAGGCCAGCCTAAACTGCCTAGCAAGATCCTGTCTCAAAAAGAAAGAAAGAAAGAAAGAAAGAAAGAAAGAAAGAAAGAAAGAAAGAAAGAAAGAACCCAACTACTTCAGTGAAGTTACAGTCTTTTTTTTTTTTTTTTTTTTTGGCAGAACCAGGATTGAACTCAGGCCCTTGCTTTATTCTACTGAGCCATCTCCCCGGCCCCCTACAGAGTAATTATGATGGAACTATAGTTCTGTTAATAATCATCCCTATAAACTCACATTTCTCTGGGTCTCCTACTTGGCCACCACCTAGTCTCTTCCTTTTCATAACACATCCCTAAATGGAAGCCTTTAGTTGTTAGGAAAGGGTTCTTCTCTTACCTCTAATGTGCTGTGCTATTTTCTCTCTCTTTTTTTTCTTTTTGTGGAACCAGGGATTGAACTCAGGCCATGTCCTGAGTTATTCTACTGAGCCATGTCGCCGGCCCTGTGCTATTTTCTCATAGCAGACCAAACTGACTAAGGCAGAGAGGGACAGTTCTTCATGGTGCTGGCTGTCCCAGCATACAGATGCTTGGCATTCCTGCTGTTGTAGCACCTCCAATCCATGAGGATTAAACAGGTCCACACAAGGTTTCAGAATTCACTTGAGAAGTGAGCTCACTTCTTTGAGAAAATTCCCATCGTACACTCAAGCGCTGACCCACTTGAATCTCTTTGCAAGAGCTTCTTTGCTTTACGTGGTTGGTTTAGATGTGAGCTAAGGTCCTTGTACAGCGTGAACTGGCCAAGAATTTTCAGTTTCTCTGGAATCAGTCTTCTCAAGTGGAATCATCAGCTTCCAATTTAGCATCTTTTTATCTTTTTGGGACAAGTTCTCACTATACAGTTCAGGTTGGCTTTAAGCTTACTTTGTAGCCCAGGCTGGTCTTGAACCAGCAACCATCTTCTTACCTTGGCTTCCCGAGTGCTGGGATTACAGGCCTGTGCCACCATACTTGTCAGCATCTTCTTTTTGGAAGACTTTT